GTATAAAAGTAAAAAATCATTCTCCTTCCTTGTTGCTTCCTTGGAATTCAGCATTTTTATAAGTTTCTTTCATTTCCTTCCAGAGCTAATTATACATACGCAAGCATATATTTTACCAAATGTTAGTTCCTTTTAATCCTATCTTGATAAAATAAGTAAAGATACAGAGGTGGATTTAAATAACACACAGGCTTGATATAACAGAAATAAAAGAGAACTTTGTACTCTTTTAAGAATACACTGTTTTTCTTTTTTTGAGGCGGAGTCTTGCTCTGTAGCCCCAGCCAGAGTGCAATGACATTATCATAGCTCACTACAACCTAAAACTCCTGGGCTCAAGCTATCCTACTGCCTCAACCTCCCGAGTAGCTGGACTACAGGTGCACTTCGCCATGCCCGACTAATTTTTCTATTTTTCGTAGAGATGGGGTCTCGCTCTGGCTCAGGCTGGTCTCCAACTCTCCACCTCAAGTGATCTTCCCACCTCAGCCTCCCAAAGTGCTAGGAATATAGGCGTGAGCCACTGTGCCTGGCCAATTTACTATAATTAATAGCTGTTCTTACTAAAATAGGTTTTATATTTTTATATAAGGTATGCTTACTTGTATAATTTGGATATGTGATATATTTTAAGTAGGTTTAACTGTTGTATAGAAATTACCATTTGTGTAATTCCTTAAGCAAAGTTATAAGTGAGGGCATAGTAATCTTTATCTGATTGTTGTGAAAATTGTGAATTTACATAGTTTTCTTTGTTTTAATAGTGTTTTTCTTCTAAAAATCTTTTTAAAAATAGGAGTATTTTCTGCATTGCGTGCTGTTCCCCAAAAGGAAGGATACCTTGGCCTATATAAAGGAAATGGTGCAATGATGATTCGAATTTTTCCCTATGGTGCAATCCAGTTTATGGCATTTGAGCATTACAAAACGGTAATTGAATTTTGGTCTTTTCTCTTTTGTGTCCTTGAATATCATGCTTACTTAATCAGGCATTTGTTTTAGACTTTAAAATTACTTTTTTTAAAGTTACTTTTTTTTCTGTGAATTTTGTGGAGAAGTATAAAGTTACTTTTGATGAATGGATAAAGTAATGTCTTTTTTAAGGAATAAGACTTGTGATGGTTTAAGTTTTTAAACATAACTTGGTTTTGGAGTTATCTATTCCAGGACTGTCAGTCATTTAGGCATAAATTCCTTATGTTCACACATTTGAAGAAAAGCCAGAGTATCTTTCAAGAAGAAAATAAATTCATAAAATATTAATAGTTTTTTAATGTGCTTTTTGTTCCTCAGTTGTAGGAGAGGAACACTGTGGCTTTGGATTTTCTTATTAAGTAAAATATGGCTTGTAGTGAAAGGTATTGTGAAAGTCTGTTTTGGAGTAATGCTATAAGTTTTCCTATTCCTCCTCACTGATGAAGTTCTCTTCTCTGGCTAAGTGAAAGTTTATCCTCTCAAACATTATCTTAACACAGAAAGGAGTTAAGTATATTAAGTTTCAAAGGGTATCTCAGAATGAAAAGTAAGCAGTAGAGATGAAAACAACATTCTACAATAACTGCTCAGTCAGATAGAATTGATGCCATCAGTATTATTAGGACTTCATCGTCTATAGTAGCATTTTATTCCTACTACCCCCATTCACTCTTAAAGAGTCTATGGTTATTAACATATAGTATTGTGTATTTGGCAATTCTAAGCTAGATTGCTTCTGCAAAAGTACAAAAAGAGCAGAGGCAACATAGGAAATCTCTTTCTGATGTGAAATAACACTGCCCAGCTTTATATAATTGTGCTCATTTCATTTACATTTATAATTTTCTTTTTATTAGTCTTGAAACTCTTTTGAAATAAGTCTTCATTACCAAACAGTGAAATGGGCAGTATTTAAAAATATCTCATTTAATTCAGTGTTTTCGGTTTCTAGTTAATTACTACAAAGCTGGGAGTTTCAGGTCATGTGCACAGATTAATGGCTGGATCCATGGCAGGTAAGAGGAGTTACATATATTTTATTTCTGATAAATTAGTTTTCTATTAAAACACTTAATTTGGATACTTAATACTAACATTGATTAGGTAGCATACATTTGTTATCTTTCTATACTCAGTTATATTAGAAATCATTAATGGCTGGACCAGCTGGCTCATGTCTGTAATCCTACCACTTTGGGGAGGCTGAGGTGGGAAGATGGCTTGAGTCCAGGAGTTTAAGACCAGCCCGGGCAACAGTCTCTAAAAAAAAAAAAAAAAGAAAAGAAAAATTAGCAGGTGTGATGGCATGTGCCTATAGTCCCAGCTTAATCGGGAGGCTAAGCCAGAACAATTGCTTGAGCCTAGGAGTTAATGAGGCTACAGGGAGCTATGATTGCACCATTGCACTCTAGCCCAAGCAACAAATTATTTTTTACATCAAAGGACAGGTGCATTTAAATTTTGATAGAGATTGCCCAGCTGCTCTTCATAATGCTTTCAATGACCTTTTCCCCAACATACCCTACCAGCACCAGGTTTTATCAAACTTTTAATATTTGCCAATTAATTATGTATAAGGTTGATCAGCTTTTCAAATGTTTATTGGTCATTAGTGTTTCTTTAACTTTCAGCTTTGAATTATTTCTAGTTTTCTTTTTAGACTGGGGTCTCACACTGTGACCCAGGCTGGAGTACAGCACTGTGATCAGAGTTCACTTCAGCCTTGATCATTTGGGCTCAAGTGATCTCCTGCCTCAGCCTTTTGTGTAGCTGGGACTACAGGTGTGTACCACCATGATCAGCTAATTTTTTTCATTTTTTTTTAGGGATGAGGTCTCACTGTGTTGCCCAGGCTGGTCTCAAACTCCTGGCCTCAAGCAATCCTCCCACCTTAGCCTCCTGGGTAGCTGGGATTATAGGTTCAAGCCACGTGCTCAGCATATTTCTATTTTTTAAATATTTATTTTTGTGAGTTTGGAAATTAGTACTTTAGTTCTTTTTCTGACAAATATTGCTAATATTTTATGTCCCAATTTTATATTTGTCTTTTGAGCTTATGATTTATTTTTATTTATTTATTTATTTAAAAATTAGAGACAGGGTCTTACTCTTGCTCAGGCTGGCCTTGAACTCCTGAGCTCAAGCAATCCTTGCACCTCGGCCTCCCAGCGTGCTAGGATTACAGACGTGAGCCACCACACCTGGCTTTCATTTTTAGTTTTTTAGAGACAGAGTCTCACTGTGTTGCCTAGGCTAGAGTGCAGTGGCATAATCATGGCTCACTTCAGCCTTGAACTCATGGTCTCAAGTGATCCTTCTGCCTTAGCTTCCTGAGTAGCTGGGACTACCAGCTCATGCCACTATGCTGGGCTGATTTTTATATTTTTTGTAAATATGGGTCTTGCTCTGTTACCAAGGCTGGTTTAAAACTCCTGGCCTCAAGGGATCCTCCTTCTTTAGCCTCCAAAAGTGATTACTGGTGTGAGCCACCTTGCCCAGCCTGATCTTATGATTTTTATTTTTTTGTTTTTTACTTTTAATTTTTAAAAAATTTTTGAGACAGAGTCTTGCTCTGTTGCCCTGGGTAGACTGCAATGGCATCTTAGTAGCTCACTGCAACCTCAAACTCCTGGGCTCAAGCGATCTTCCTGCCTCAGCCTCCAGAGTAGTTGGGACTACAGGTACATGCCATGACACCCAGCTAATTTTTCTACTTTTAGTAGAGATGGGGTTTCGCTGTTGCTCAGGCTGATCTCAAACTCCTGAGCTCAAGCGATCCTCCTGCCTTGGTCTCCCAGAGTGCTAGGATACAGATGTGAGCCACCTTGCACGGCCTTGATTTTTAAAAAAAAATTTATCCAAAAGCTTTTTTTTCTCTATTCAGAAGTTTTACATAGCCAAATGTGTTTGTCATTTCCCCTATTGCTTCTAAATTTTTTGTTGTGTTTAGAAATGCCCTCCTTATTCCAAGATGAAGACATTTAATCATGTTTTCTGCTAAAACTTTTTTTTTGGTATGGTGATCTCATGTTTATTTTTATTTAAAGAATGAAGTACACATTGACTAAATTTTTTTCCACATCCTTTTGCAGTTCATAGCCATGATGATTGAGTTTTCACATGCATGTGTGAGGTGTGCCTCCCTCACACCTTGTTACGACATCAGCATATCATCTTTCTTTTTTTTTTATAGTCTTAAGAATTGGGTAAGCACATTACCTTTCTGATGTGAAGAAAAAACTTTTTTCCCAAATGACTAGTCCATTGTGCACATGTCATTTTTTCAGTAATTTATCCTTTCTCCAATTTCTTTATCTTTAAGAAATGATGTCTTGCTGTATTGCCTAGGCTAGCCTTTAATTCCTGGGCTCAAGCGATCCTCTTGCCGCAGCCTTCTGCTTTTTCCCAATTTTATTTACCATCTCTAGCATATGCAATATTCAGTGAATTCATTTAAGAGAAGTAAGGATATACTTACAGTGATATTTAGTTCCAAAGATGTTCATTGCACTTTTGTTTATTATACTGAAAGGTAATTTAAA